TCAAACTAAAACAATGAGGTACCTTAGAAAAATTCAACAATTTTTGAAATGGCAATGCTTATTGTCAGCTGAAATAGTATACTCACACAACTGCTACCAGCAGCATCCATTTGTACAGTTTGATAATACAATCTATATTATTTGTGGATTCCATTTTTACTAATTCACCTCTTGGCTAAAATGTATTTGTTACCCCCAAGTCAGTATTGCCAGCCCTTTTGAGGTCATTTGTGGACATAAACAGATTGATACAAAATTTGAGTCCTGCCGCGTTCAGACAAGGCAATCTCTGTCTTCTCATTTCAGCTCTCGTTCTGCAAAAAGCATTGTAGGGGCCAAGGGCAGGCACCCAAAATGTGTAACTTTAGCATATTATTTCCCTAAAATAAAAGTTAGTTAAGAAACAACTGGTGCAGTGTTCCTGGGTAGCTCAGTTGGTTAAGCATCTGCCTTCTGCTCAGGTTATGATCCCTGCTCAGTGGGGAGTCTGCTTCTCTTTTTCCCTCTGCCCCTCCCCCACCCTCCTACCTGTGCTCTCTCTCGAATGAGTGTTCTCTCTCAAATAAATAAATAAAATATTTTTTAAAACAACCAGTGCAAGACACTCAGACCCTACTCTGTTCCCCTGAAAGCAGGAAACAAATATCCCATATGAAAAATATCTTCCCTATAGTAAGAAGTAAAAAGACAAGCTCATCACCAGAGATAGTGAAGGCTGCAGAAATAAACCTTGTTACTTTTTACTATCTACTACCACAGCAGCTTAGACTTAGAATTCCTCAATTTCATTATTGGTCCTCTGTGTGCATGTAATAAAACTTGCGTTTTTTTTTCTCCTGTTAATCTGTCCCATCAACTTAACTCTTAGTCCAGCTGGAAGACCTTGAGGGTGGAGAGCGAATTCTCCCTCCCCTACAGTGTTCTTTTCATGGTCTCTTAGCCCTATGTTTTTCTCACTTTTGTGCTTTTTGTGGCTGACTTTGCTGTTTAAAATGGCCCCCAAATGCATTGTCTGGAGCCCTCAATCACAAGAGGCTATGATGTGCTTCCCAGAGGAAGTTAGGCATGCTTAGTCTCGGCATGAGTTACAGCGCTGTGGGCCATGAGTTCCATATTAATGAAGCAACAACATATATTAAATAAAACATTTTCAAGCCTAAATACATGACACAAGGTATTGATCAGTTAATGAAATGTTTAGATCAGAGTCCTGAAGATCCTAACTTTGTATTTCTTGCAGGAGCAACGGTTCAGTATTTGCTAGCTCAGTCTTCGTCATGACTTTATAGAATATAACCGCCAGGAAAAATGAGAATATATCAAGAATACTCTTACAAGTCCATGCTCTCAAAACCTCCCCTCACTGCTCTATCTAGAAAAATAATTAGAAAGGTGGCCAGGAGCTCATGACAGTGTTAAAATAATAAAAATTAAAAATAGTGCTGGTGGGAAGGTGTATTTGATGCAGCCATCCCTGCCAGAATGAGCAGTAGGGAATGTGAGATGAAAGCAAATGCAAGCAGGCTCTAGAAGCTGGAAAAGGCAGGGCAATAGATGGATTCTTCCCTGGAACCTCTAGAAAGAATCAGTCCTGCCAACAAGAGAGACTGATTTTGGACTTCTGACCTCCAAAACTAGAAGAATAACTGCGTGGTTTTTTAAACCACTAATTTTGTGACAGTTTGTTATTGCAATGAAAGGAAGCCAGTACAGGCCTATATTACATGCACGTGGTAGGAAATAAAGATTTTAATAAGCCTTGTCAGAAGTAATAAACTCAAAAGTAGCTTTTTTCTTTTTTTTAAGTAGGCTCCATGCCCAGTGTGGAGCCCGTATGAGGCTTGAACTCTTGACCCTGAGATCAACACCTGAGCTGAAATCAGGAGTCGGATACTTAATCAACTGAGCCATGCAGATGCCCCAAGAAGCACATTTTTAATAATAATAAAAAAAGTACTGCCTTTCATTTATCAAGGAAGTTAAGGATGAATATGCCACTTTATCAAAATATTTGTCCACATTTACATCTACCTTCAGGGTATCACTGATGATGTGAAAACTAGAAGGCATAAATCTGCTGAAGAAGCGTGAGTACCTATTTCAAAAGTTAATAGTTACTTTAAGAGACAATGCACAAAGATCATTTAAAATACGCAACTGTAGGGATTCCTGGGTGGCGCAGCGGTTTGGCGCCTGCCTTTGGCCCAGGGCGCGATCCTGGAGACCCGGGATCGAATCCCACGTCGGGCTCCCGGTGCATGGAGCCTGCTTCTCCCTCTGCCTGTGTGTCTGCCTCTCTCTCTCTCTCTCTCTCTCTGTGACTATCATAAATAAATAAAGGTGTTTAAAAGAAAGAAAAATATGTTCAAAAAAATAAAATACGCAGCTGTAGAAAGTGCATTTACATCTTACTTTGTGAAGCATGGCTTTTTCATTTACCTTCAATGACTATCCTGCGAAATGAATTTCATGTGTTTTGGCTTGCAAGTTTTCTTGTGTGCATAGCAGAAGTGAAGCCATAATACTATGCATTTGTTCAAACCGATGGTATGTGCTATACCAGGAGGGAACCCTAATGTAAATTATGGACTCTCGGTTATAATAGTGTGTCCTTGTAGGGTCATCATTGGCACAGATGTACCATCTGGTATGAGACAGCGATATGGGGGAGGCTGTGCATGGGTGGGAGTGGGGGGTAAATGGAAAATCTCCATACTTTCCTCTCAATGTTGCTGTGAACCTAACACTATTCAAAGAAAAATAAAGTCTTAAAAACAAGTGAAGCCACAAAGTTGGGTTCATTAATCAAAGAGTTACATGGTGCCTTCTTTATATCATTCACTAATTGTTCCAAACAGGAAGTCCATTATCTCCAATGATTGAAAACTATTTTTGGTGGTGTGTTAGAGGTGAAACAGTATCATGAATATTATTGTAAACGCTATTAAAAAGTTCAACATTGAGGGGCACCTGGGTGGTTCAGTTGGTTGAGCATCTGACTCTTGGCTTTAGCTCAGGTCATGATCTCAGGGTCTTGGGAACAAGCCCCACGTGGGGCTCCATGCTCAGCATGGCGTCTGCTTGAAATTCCTTCCCCCTCCCTCTGCTCCCCACCCCCAGCTTTCTCTCTCAATTAAATAAATAAAATCTTTTAAAAAGTTCAACATTGATCTTGTGATACAGATACTTATTTTTGTGGAAGACAGTGTGGTGGTAAAAACAATGATTTCACTAAATTAAGAAACCAGTAAAGCAAAAGTGTGTTTAGAACTGGTTGAGGTCTAAACACAATTCAAACAAGCTGTGGTATTCTTCCAATTGAAATAGAAGATGTCTTTATCAAAATATATAAATGTTACATATTTACTTAATCAAAAAAAATCAATGAAGCTTATGTTGAAAATAATTTAAACTGGTGGTGCACACATTTCCTCAAGCTTTTAAAGAATGACTTCATAAATCATCCTAAGTGACATACAACAGAACTAAATTTTTTATAAATGCACCTTCTAAATTGCAATTGCATGTTGTTCAACATTATTTGGCTTAGTATCATGAATAATGGCTGCAAGGATGTCTGGGTCCTAATTTCTAGATCCTGTGAATGTTACTTCACAGAGTAAAAAAGGACTTTGTAGATGTAATTAAGTAAAGGATCTTTGGGTGGTCAGTTTGTCCTAGATTATCTGGGTGAGCCCTAAAGGTAGACCCTCCATTCTTATAAAAGAGAAAGACGGAAATTTGACACAAGCAGAAGAGGAAGCCAAGTGAGTGTGGGATCAGAGAAGGGCATGATGCAGACACAGTCCAAGGATTGCTGACAACCACCAGAGGCTGAGAGGCAAGAAGGGATTCTCCCCAGGAGTCTCAGGCGGGGTGTGGTCATAGACACTGACTTTGGCTAGTGAGATGGATTTCAGACTTTAGGCAATCAGAACTAAATTTGTGTCATAAACCACCAAATGTGCAGTAATTTGTCACATTAGCCATGGGAAATGAATAAAGTTGGAGATTTTTGATTAAGATATTTGATGAATGGAGCACCAGCAGCTTTAGGTATTGCAGCTTTTAATTTGAATTGCAATGATTGAAAACAAAGCTTGCAAACAGTAAGACATTGAAATTTGTTCCAACAAAAACTAAGCAAATTACATGATGAGAGCTCCAACCATGCATGATTTCATTAGAAGCATCTCAAAGAGTTTGAGAAAACTCTTTGTATGAAATTCCCACTTATAATTGCGCAAATTAATATTTTGTTTTGGAATTGGATTAATAGAAACATCTACTTCACAGCATCTAAGTATGGCAAACAAATCATAAATAAAAACAACTTCTTTATCTTAGCCTGACTTATTACACTTAATGTCTAACCTATTATGCTAAGTGTAATAAGTAAGACTGAGAAAGACAAGACCCTATGACTTTACTCATATGTGGAATAAAAACAAAACAAAGGAATAAACAAACAAAAAAACAGAATCAGACCTGTAAATACAGAGGACAAACCATTGATTGCCAGTGAGGAAGGGGCTGGGAGATGGGCCAAATTGGTGAAGGGGAGTGGGAGGTACAGGCTCCCAGTTGCGGAATGAATGAGTCATGGGCACGGAAGGCACACCACAGGGAATGTAGTTGATGTAATAGTGTTGGCGGCAGGGTGAGCACAGCATAAGGTACAGAGATTTTGAATCACTGCGTCATACACCTGAAACTAATGTCACATTGTGTGTCAACTATACACAAATTTAAAAATTAAAACAACACTTATATTGAAATTAGTCTGAATGGAAGCAAAAGAATATTAGGTTAAAATATTTACATACATCAATCCAAAAAAAAAATAGATCTCTAAGTATCCTCCATTTAACAGAATTTGCTTTGAGCCTATCATGTATATCCGCAGCTATAGAGACTAATTGGGCAATTAAAAATATTAGTCTACAAAGAAGAGTAAATTGAAAATGTCAAAATTTCACATTTATTAACCGTTAATGCAATTTAATTTTAAGATTTTATTTATTTATTCATGAGAGACACAGAGAGAGGCAGAGACACAGAGGGAGAAGCAGGCTCCCCACAAGGAGCCCAATGTGGGACTCAGATCCAGGACCCCGGGATCACGACCTGAGCCAAAGGCAGGCACTCAACAGCTGAGCCACCTAAGTTTCCCACATTAGTGCAATTTTAAAGACTACAGACAATTTCATATAAACATTGAAAATAATAAGACCCTTTTGGAAAAAATACATTCTTTAAAAAGAATGACACTTTATTAGAGAAAACTAATAAGGAACTGACCAAATTATATGAACAGGTACCAAGAGTTATTGCTTCTGCAACGTTTAATGTTCAATCAATAGAATTATTTTTAAATTTTGCTTTTTAATGTACATACATGTGTTATTATTTTGGAAAGAATTCTATTTTTGAAATTAGCTTTTGAGTAGCACTACTTATAGGTCCACCAATATGATAAAAACAATTGTTTGGTGCATAAATGTTTCAAAAATAGTACAATTTTAATTATTTTATCGACTCCTTTAATTCTGCAAAGTGCTCCCGCTTAGGTAAATTATAAAGCTGAACAAACTCGAAGGAAAAAATGGCTGAATCTTATTTCACCTCAGTCTCATCCTTTTAAAAATCTGTCCAATGTTTGGCAATTTTGCCCATTGTCTTCAAGGAGTGAAATGGAGACACTAACTGGGGTGGGCATTGTGCTAGGTACTTCATGTATATATGTTGAGTTTAGGGAAATAAGTACAAATATGTATCAAGAAATCCATCTTAATGATAAGGATATGGGTTCATAGGCATCAAGTAGTGGCCAGAAAGCTAACCCGGAGGCTGCAGAGGTGGAATTGGACTCCACTGAATCTACTTGCTTTCTCCTCCTCCAAGTGTCTAGAGCATGAGCCACTCTGATTAACCTCCATGATCACATCTATCTCCTTCAGTGGTTACCTTTCATCTTCCTTCTGCGTCTTGCTTGGCCATTCTTCATACAGCTTCACATTTCACCTCTACTTAAACATCTGATGTGAGGAATAGCCCTGAGTTACTGATGAAAACATGCAGCTCTCATCAAGAACGGAACATTCCTACTCACTGGATGGAGGCAAAATGAACACTCTCGACGACAGATTCTTACAGAGGAGGCTCATCCGTTAGAGTGTAATGGTTGGTATGGGAAACCTTCATTCTCTTCTACCCTTCAATCCCAGGGATGGAAGGCTTCTCATTCCAGAGGCTTATGAGTGGAAGTGCTTGTACTATGAGCTTTTTGGTGCTCATTTAAGCATCCTGGTCTGTAGCTGGGTACCCATAGTCAGTCTTTGGCAGTGGTGGTGGGGGGACCCTAATGTGAAGGGTCAGAAGAGTGTCAGAAGACACCAACACAGTAGCCTCACATGTCTGGCTTGACACAGTGTTGCATGATCTCAGTGCCTTGCCTCTTGACCTCACAAATGATAAGAAATAATCAGCAGCTTCTTTCTCCTCACAAAAATTACACACACAAGTTGCTCTGGATCAGTTGCTCAAAAGCCAGTTACTGAATTAAATTTGATAAATTTGCTATAAGAAACCCTTTTCTATGATGCATGACACAGTTTTTCTTCCAAACTTTTAGAAAATTATCAAAGTATAACTGAAATGCAATATTCTGTTAGTTTCCAGTGTACAGAATGATTATTTACATTACAAAATGCTCCACACAAGTCTAGTTACTGGCTGTCACCAAAGTATTACAATATTGCTATATTTTATTGTTATATTAAAGTATTCCCTATGCTGTATACTGCATTCCCATGATTTATTTATAACTGGTAGTTTGTACCTCTTACTCCCTACCAACAAATTGATTCTAAATTACCATTTTAAGCTTAATCTTTCTATCTTTAAAAAATAAATTTGTCTCTCCCAGATTTCTCACTGTCACGGTTATAAATCAAAAGGACAATTGAAGAGGAAATGAAAGAGGCATAACACAGCCCTATCCAAGAACATGCTGTTTAAAATGTTTGGGTATGAAATATTCTCATACATTTTTGTGAATACATTTTTTTTCTGTCAACCAAATTAAACAGTTAAATGAGCAAATTTGCCCCATGACTTACTTTTCATTTCCTTGATATTTGTGTGTCATGTTGGTAGTTCCAGACTGATCAGTTCATAACTCCCATGACTTTCCTCCTCTGAAATTAGTTTGCTCAATAAAGCCCCTGTCATTCATTCTATGTTTGTTCACAATCAATGGATTGTTTTTGTGTCCATTTTAAACATGTTTATCTGACATTTTAACCAAAAATGTCTCTAAATATTGCCAAACATCCCATGAAGACAAAACACTGAGGTGGATTATTCAGTACAACCCCCCACCAGGGAATTCTGAAACACTTATTTAGGATCATATCATAAAGCAGTTTTCCTTCACAAATATCACACAAAGATGACTGTCAGCTCAGAAGACTCAGTGACGGCGTACAATATGTGAGGAGAGATATGCTGCGCAAAGACTGTTTGAGGTGAGCAACTCAATCTGCTATTATGTTACATAACTGCTTACGTCTCTAGTTGAGCCCTCATATGACGGCCTATTTAGATGGAGGATGCCTGCCAAGGCATAACGTCCACAACACCAAGTTCCACGACACATTTGCCAGCTGGGTTGTCAACCTCCAGGCACTACTAAGCAATTTATATGATTTTTTTCCAGTAAAAATATTTTCTGAAACAAAGTAGACAAAGAGAATGCAAGCTTTATTTTAAAGCAAACTGTGCAAGCATCATATCACCAGCATGTGAAGAACACTGGCAAAAACGACTATTGATGGGTTGGAAAGTATATCTGATAGTTTCCAGTTCCACAGAAAAGTTTGAAATCCTTTTTATGATAAAAAAAAAAGTGCCCACTCAGACTTGAGATTATAAGAACATAATTCTATTTTTCATCACAAAAGTTCTAGAACTTTAATTAGAATTTTACATGCTATCTACGCTGCCTTCTAAATACCACAGGGAATGGGTGCTGACCGCCAATTTTCCAAGAATAAGTATCAGGTGGCGCTTCCCATTTTTTAAAAACACACTTGATAGAGCACTACTTACAAATGAGATGTTTTATCTGGCGGGATTTTGTCTCCACGATCCCATAATTTACCACATGAGGAATGAAGAAAATAACAAACCAAACTGTCCTACTGCCTCCATAATGGAGGCGGATTCTATGTTCAATCAAGACTTTAGCTTCGGTTTTAGTTCAATCAGGCCTGATCTCCCCAGACCGGTTTGTTCAAAATCCCCTGTGGTTGTTTCCAATGAATTCCTGCTGAAAGATCCTGGCATTGGGGCAGAGGGATCACGACCCCTTCCCTTTTCTTCCCAAGTTCCAGCCTGCACCCTGGTCCTTGCTCATGCACACCCTACAATTCCTGGCCCACAGGCAGCAGCTCTTCTGTGGTCATTCAGCTAAGGTCAGGAGGGGGGTGTGTGTGTCCGCAGCACATGGAATATGTCGGCCCCAATTTTAAACCTGCCCCATTTCCTGACAGACATATGCACAGGCACACACACGCATATATACTCATATGCACACATGTGTGCATGCGCATACATCTGAGGGGCAAGTGAGCTATGCTCCCAAATCACAGAAGAAAAGAAATGGAAGTATGTGACTTAGGAACAAAATAACAGGTACTTTTTCATTATAGGGGAACTGAAAACAACACCAAGCAAAAAAACTAAAACTCTTTAAAAATGTATATGGCTCTTTTATAAAGAATGTGAAGTAATGGACACACATACACCAAAATGAGATTCGACTATAGTACAGTCAATTAACATAGAAGAAAAATGAGTGTTTCCTTTGACTTTACACATTTAATTGCTTCATTTTACACTTTTCAAATTCACTTTGAACTCAGCACATCCTAGGGCTTCTTAGGTCGACCAAGTTGCTTGCTAGACATAGTCGAGTTCAGGAGCAATTTCCTTACACATTCATCCATCTCTGTTTAAGAATAAGGAGTCTTTTCCATTTCTTTCTCTTTTTTTAAGAACATAATTGTTTTTATTATAAATTTATTTAAATCACTTTGGACCCAGCATGTCCTTAGGTTTCACCCATTCATCAAACTGCTCTGCAGTGAGATAGCCAAGCTCAATGGCAGTCGCCTTCAAGGTTGATCCATTTTTGTGTGCTGTCTTAGCAATCTTTGCCGCCTTGTCATACCCTGAAGAGAAAATAAAAAGGCAATATAGGTGTTCATAGTGAAACCTGGTTTTCTAAAACAAAAGGTCATTATTTACTTGATACTGAGGCTACTGATCTCTTAAGTAACATTTTTAATCTTAAAAATATTAAACAGTCATGATCTTCAGAACAGAAATGATCTTCTCATTTTATTCATGAGAGACGCACAGAGAGAGGCAGAGGGAGAAGCAGGCAGGGAGCCCGATGTGAGACTCAAGGATCACGCCCTGGGCCGAAGGCAGGTGCTAAACCACTGAGCCACCCAGGGATCCCCAAGAGCTGTCATTTCTGATAGAAAATAAAACCTTCATATTTGTTAAGTGATACAGACTAAACATTCCTCACTTTCTATAGCAGATTTGTTTCTAAGTATAACTGGTCACTTCAATCATCTTTGGGTTCCCCTGTGTAGTAGCTCTCTGGCTAAATGCTAACGTACAATAATTTTTAAAGGATCAAAAACATTATTACTACACCACAAAATAACTCCTATATTCAGAGAGGGAAATACAAGAAAACAAAATAGCATGAAGACATGAAAATATACATCTGAGAAGTCAAAATATGTCTTGGTTCCAAAAACATGTTTAACTGGAAGCAATCTTTCTACCACAGCATAATGAGCTGTGTGCTACAGTGCCCCAGCAAACAGCACCACTGGGTAGGAGCTGTGGGGGGAACTGGCTCTGAGGGGGCAAGGTGCATGATGGTGGGGGAGCCTCCCAGACACTGCAAGGATACGGGGGGCGGGGGGGGGGAGGTTTTAGCATAGATCTATTCTCCTACCAAAGACCAGAGGTATACTGTTTGCTTCAGTTATTTGCTTCTGGAATTAACAAAGGGTAGGGCAGCTCTGCAAGTTGTCTTGACTTAACACAATTGAGAAAAAGGTCAGAAGGCAAAAGCAAGAAAGAACAGAAAAGGGTGCCTGTATGGCTCAGTTGGTGAAGTGTCTGACTTGCGCTAAGTCGTGATCCCAGGGTCCTGGGATCGAACCCCGAGTAGGGCTCCCTGCTCAGTAGAGAGCCTGCTTCTCCCTTCTGCCTCTGCCCCTCCTCAAGCTTGTTCTTTCTCTCAAATAAATGAAATCTTAAAAAGCGGAAAAACAGAAAAAACAAAAATGAAACCAAGGAGGAGGAAAAAAAACCCCCACATATCCCCATATCCGAGGACTACGGTCAAAGAAACAAAAGCCTGCTGAGGCAACACGACTGTCAACCAGGCAAGATGTTACATATCAGCACAGAACCATTAACCATCTATGAAGAAAATTATGGGCAATTTTAGTACTCACCTGAACCTGTGAACACTAAACGTGTTGAAAAGGGCATTTACTGATCAGAGTAACTTTGAGAAAGAATTTTCATCAAATGATCAGGGCCATTATTAGGTATTGTGTACTCTTATGTTGATGACATTAGAGTGTAAGTCTTAAACTAACCACTCAGTTCTTTTCTTCAGGTCCTACAGAGCCTGTTAGCAGCCAGCCTGCTCCATAATGAGCGCACAGAGCACCCCTGATGAGCAGTTGCAAGGTTCACACTGTCCCTTTATCCTTGTATGGCCTTTACCTCATGGAAAACTGATTCCAACAAAGACTAATCAATCATTCAGTGCTGGGAGCACCCCCCTCATTTAAGTGTTCTAAAGCACAGATGTGAAGGAACATTTCTCACATGAGCCTCTGGGTTCCCCTGTGTAGCTCTCTGGCTGAATGCTAATATACAATAATTTTAAAAGGATCAAAATATTATTACCAATCTCAATACTACACCAAAGAACACGATATATATCATAGTGGGCTCAGAGCTACCTGAAGCAATCAAATGAGCTCTAACTTTATACAACTGAAATTACAGTTTGATGTGAAGCCAATAAACAGAAAAATCTGCCTTGAAAGTTTAGGAACATAAAAGAATATTTTAAACAGCAATCATATCATGCTAAGGACTGTATCATAACATTTTAAAATAGAAAATCAAATAAAATGTTAACAATCTCAGCTCAGCAATAAGAAAGTGGGAAAGGAAAGGGTTTCAAGGTGTCATAACAATGCAGTGAATGCCTCAAAACTACAAGTCAAACTGTACCTTTAGTGAGGATCACTATAGTCTCTCCACAATCCCAAGTCGGTAAGTTTGAATTTACATAATAAAATATTTACAATTCTGGAAAAGGTTTGCAATATGAATCATGGTTTTAGATAAAATATTTACATTCCCCCCCCCCTTCCCTATAAGCAATGAGTGCTAGCCTTTTTCCTTTTGTTCTTATTGGTAACTTCCCATTTCTGAATTGAATAAAACTACCAAGTGTAGTAGATCATCTAGAGAAGGCAGAAAAATGAATCCATCCCACATTGCTAATCGGCCAGTGCCACCTAGTGACATTGACGTTACCGAGGGGACCTCTCCCAGGTAATCTGCACAGAAGGTTCAGCATCTCAATACCATTAAGATTTATGTAAGTCTGAACTTCTGAGTTTATCACATTTCAAATAAAATGAAGAATAACTAACAGTATATTAATATATAAAGTGTCTTTCAACACAATTTCATTTTTTTAATAAATTTATTTTTTTTTAATTTTTATTTATTTATGATAGTCACAGAGAAAAAGAGAGAGGCAGAGACATAGGCAGAGGGAGAAGCAGGCTCCATGCACCGAGAGCCCGACGTGGGATTCGATCCCGGGTCTCCAGGATCCCGCCCTGGGCCAAAGGCAGGAGCTAAACCGCTGTGCCACCCAGGGATCCCTCAACACAATTTCAAATATTTTATGAGATTTTACTAAAACAATGTCTGAAAAGGAATCTCCTACCCATCTTGATCCAATAATATCTTAAAAATATTTTAGCTTGGGAACGCCTGGGTGGTTCAGCGGTTGAGCTTCCGCATTTGGCTCAGGTCATGATCCTAGGGTCCTAGGATCAAGTCCCACATCAGGTTCCCCAAAGGGAGCCTCCTTCTCCCTCTATCTATGTCTCTGCCTCTTTGTGTCTCTCATGAATAAATTTTTTAAAAAATTTAAAAAAAAATTTAGCTTGGGGCACCTGGGTAGCTCAGTTGGTTCAAGCATCTGCCTTCGGCTGAAGTCATGATCTTGGGGTCCTGGGATTGAGCCCCCACATGAGGCTCCCTGCTTAGGAGCCTTAAACAGAATCATTAAAAAATGTATTTTAACCATTTAATTTTGTATTCAAAATGACATTATTACTCCTTATATCTTACCTATATGAGGATTAAGAGCTGTCACCAACATTAGAGATTCACTCATCAGTTTGCTGATCCTCTCTGTGTTGGCCTGGATTCCCATGACGCAGTTCTCTGTGAAGGAAACGGCTGCATCTCCCAGCAGCCGGGCTGAGTGTAACACATTTTTGATCTGTGATGTGGGGGGGAGGAGGGGGTAGAGAGAGAGGGAGAGAGAGAGAACTGCTTATTGAGCCTTTTCTGTCCAATAACATATTATGTGCAGGTTCAAAAATGAATATGTAATTTGATAGCATAGCATTCCTACAAATTGAAAGGACTATACCCACAGAAACAAATATGAAAGAAATTATGAACATTTGAGGACACTGAAATCTAAAAGAGGTAAGAGCCATAAATACAAATAACTGGAACCCAAGAGACCCTGTAGTGTGATAAAACACAGGTATGAAATGTTAGCACAAAGAAAGAGAAATTAATCCCAGTTGTAGGAATCGGTGAAGTCCTATTTGATGGAGTGGCCTTAGATAACCAGAGATGGAAAAAGAATCTTCTGGAAGAGAAGTGAAGATGTAGAGGTTAGAAGGTTCAGCAGCTGGAGGCAGCCATGCAGTGAGGGCTTCCCAGGACTTAATGGTCACCATATTTTTCATGCTTTATAAAACAAATGTTCCTCAGACCCTTTAAAGTAACCTTTCACACAATATTTAAAACCAACATAAAATCAATTAGTTTGCTTTAGCTTTTTTTCCTTTTTGGTAACATTTCCAATATGTATAAAGATGTACCCACATCGCACTCTCTTTTGGTCTAAAACCTCTGAAAACTATAGTCCTGACAATAGACTCCAGTAGAAGGCTCAGAACTTCCAGGTTTCATTTGATACTAATGACTTTAATATAAGGCAAATGTTGATTACCTTGATATATTTTCTACTAAAGACAAAAAATAGACTTTGTTTACATTTGTTACACACCTACATCTGCCAGGCAGCTGGTATTAACTGTTTGGAATCTGACATGAAAGCAAAGGCTAAGATATCCAAGTTCTGCTTTGGCCTGTCTTTCATTTTTCATGAGAATGTACATTCTGTGAGGGCAAAAAAATATGTCTTATTGTTCTATCACTAGTACCCAATTCAGCGCCTGATGCAGATTTGACAAATATATTGAATATTAATATGTCATTTGCATGTCCTTATCAGATTAGAACGAGACTTCACGCCAGATGCAAACTGATAATAAGCCTCTAATATATTTTAGATACAACACTTTACACAAATTAAGAACACCAAATGATGACAGCTCTGTTATCTGAAGCTGAGGAAACTGGATGAAAAGATAAAGATGATGCCACCCTGCTCACAATTAGCCTTTAGTCAAAAAACATTAAAAATCGAATGTAAAGCTTACCATCATTGGCTTGAACACATTCAACTCAAAATGTCCATTGCTGCCTCCCACAGTGACAGCAACGTGATTCCCCATGACTTGGGCTGCAACCATGGTCAGTGCTTCACACTGGGTAGGGTTCACCTTGCCTTTAAAAGAGCCACCAAGAAAAGATTCCATATCGAACATGCTCATGGACTCAAGTGTCATTAAGATTAGGTATTATGTCAAATAATCATGAGAAGAAAATCTAACTTCATTCAGTAAAACAAGTCCCCAACCATCCGTGCTGATATAATGAAACAAACCAGGTGAATAAAGAGGGATGGGCTGCCACAAGCCATGAACCATTCATTCAATGGCTAATGAGTACTCGCACCCACACGCTGAATACAGCCCTCTCCATCTCCACGGCTTTCGTTCATTGTTGACATTTACAGAGCTAAGCACTGAACATACCTACTGTAGTGAGTGATGCAGCCTCTGCCCTCCAGGATCTGGAGACCACGGAGAGACAGCAGGCAATTAAAGTACATGGGGGTAAATACAGAGAAGTAGACTGCTACAGGAACACTTATAGAAGAGGTATCTCACTGATACAGAGGAAGCTGATGTTATGCTGAAATTCTCCTACTCATTGTCATGAGTCTCCAGAGCCCTGCCACCCTGGGAGCACCCCTCTGACAAACTCAAGTTTGAACAAGACACCCCAGATTCCTCTGACAAGTACAAAGCAACACCCTGGGAAGGTTCTTTCCTTATCTGTGAATCTGGGCTTCCCTTTTCTAGCAATCACCTTGAATATGCAGTCAATTAAACTCGTATCATTTTGTAATGTAAACTATTTTCAAATCAGATCCCTTCTCACTCTATACGTGTGCATAGCTTTAAAAGAATCTATAATCAGGTCTTTCTTTTTCACTGTTAAAAGTCACTTTTTTAGTCAAACCTACAGAGGCCCTTCTTTATGAATCTTGATCCTGGTATACTACTGCTTCCTTATCTGCTGATGTGATCCACACGTACTCCCTGCCTTTACCCTCGGCCAGCAGCAAAGTGGTGGAGGGGCAGAGCCATCTGGCTGCGACCAAGACACACCTCCAGTCTGAAGTCAACTCATTAGTGTCACTCAAGTGTCACTGTTCACCCAATACATTCGTCTAACAGGGCTACCCACGTCCCCACAGGATTCCGTGAATGTCACAGAAGTCTGTCAAATGACTTGCTAGAATCCAGAAAGCCAGTGTCTGTCACTTCTCTTATCTGACAGGCCAAAACCCAAAGCAAAAAATGAAATAACAGGCAGGTGGAATAATTCATTTTTATTCAACCCATGCTGAACACTTTAGCAGCTGGCTAAGAATTCTTCTGGCTTTGGATTATGAAAGATGGAACTATTACATATTCTCTAACGTAGGAATCAAAATACATGTACTAACTAAAATTCTCTTTTCCTGCATTGTTCGGTGATGTTGCCAGTTCAGATCAAAGGTGGCTGCAAAGACATTCTGAAATGAGTGTGCCACACACATCCTTACCCATGTCTGGGATCATGCTGAACACAAGGGGACATGCTCTGTTCATAAGAATGCCCAGGTTCTTGTCAAGTTCCAGAGCTAATATTTATCAGCTCTGTTATTACCTGGCATGATACTGCTTCCTGGTTCATTTTCAGGCAAGATCAGCTCTCCCAGACCTGACCGGGGACCAGAACCCAGAAAACGAATATCATTTGCTATCTTCATCAGACTGCAGGCCGTAGTATTCATAGCTCCACTGAGTTCAACCAAAGCATCATGTGCGGCTAGAGCCTCAAATTTATTTGGAGCTGTGACAAAAGGCAAGCCTGAAATAAAAAAATAGTAACTTTCTGATATAACAGGTAAAATTAAATGTTTTTTTCTAATATCAGCAAGTTAAACAGAAAGTTCCAGGGTATGAAAAGCAAAAACGGAACAGAAGAAAAATTTTACTTCAAGAAAATATGCTTATTTTATGATTTCAAGCTTTGTTTCCTTAAGAAGTCCTCAACAGGTAGGAAGAATCTAGTGATACCAGTGTGTTTAAAGAATAAAGAAACAAGTACAATAAATGCATTGAAAGGAAAAAAAAAAACTATTCTTCTGCAAATACATGTATGATGCCTGACTACTGACTACTCTTTTTTTTTTTTTTAAGATTTTATTTATTTATTCATGAGAGACAGAGAGAGAGAGGCAGAGACACGCGCAGAGGGAGAACCAGGCTCCCTGCAGGGAGCCCGACGCAGGACTCAATCCTGGGTCTCCCGGACCACACCCTGGGCTGAAGGCAGGCCCTAAACCACTGAGCCACCCGGGCTGCCCGATACCTGACTACTATTGAATAAAGATGAAAAGTAGCTAAAGTTCACTTTATTCCACACTCCTTTGCTAGTACAATTTTCCCCCATCTTAGGTTGTACTAGTCCTGCTATTAGCCAGGACTCTACAAATCCTGAGAAGACAGGGGGCCAAAAAGAATTAGACATTTTAACTCAATGTCACCTGTGTTCAAAATTTTAACGATCACATATTTTAATCCCTATAATAGTTCTTCTCACTTAAAACTTGACTAAAAAACAATTCTCTGCCATAAAGCAGAGAATTAGACAATGAGCATTGTCTAATTATGTCTGCTCTGATCAGCGAGTAACATCTATATCTTCAGAAGAGTTTTCTGGGGTATCTCTGGGTGGCTCAGTGGTTTAGTGCCTGCCTTCCACCCAGGGCGAGATCCTAGAGTCCCGGGATCGAGTCCCACATCAGGCTTCCTGCATGGAGCCTGCTTCTCCTTCTGCCTGTGTCTCTGCCTCTCTCTCTGTCTCTCATGAATAAATGAATAAAATCTTTAAAAAAAAAAAAAAGTTTTCTGGAGCTGACAACTCAGCTGTAATAACAGTTATTACTGAGAACACAGCATTCTCTCTACTAAAGGAAGAACAAGATTCAAAAAGGCCATTAACTCAGAGAAATATCACAGTATAATACAGGGAAAAAAAAGAAATTAAGCCTGTCAATATCTCCACATATTTAGCATTGAAAGGAATATGTCACAACCATCCCCTGATTTTGCCTGCTTTGAAAAATGGGTATTTGAAACAGCTTTGAAGGGAAAGTAACTGAATATCACCATATAGTAAACAAGCCTGCATTGACGGATTTTAATTGCATACTGTATGAATCACAGATGGGAAACTTAAAAGGCAAAAGGATTAACACTGCAGCTTCTGAAATAGACATAAAACACGTTTGATGGGAAAATATTATTTTTAACTTTAAATTCACAAGAATTCAAAGCAGAAACACCTAGAAAATAGAGACTAGTATAATGAAAATAAGTCATAATTCATATTATCACTGACCTGTGAGTGCAGCCACTTTGGCAGCAACCTTCTCTGCAAAGCCAATTCTAGTATTTAAGCCTGTGCCAACAGCAGTGCCTCCAGCTGCGAGCTCATAGATCCTTGGCATTGCAGCTTTTATTCTCGTCATTGCATATTTTACTTGTTGAACATAACCACTAAATTCCTGGAAAGAGAAGGAAATTAAGGTGAGAACATGTGATTTCCTAACAGCTTACAAGTTTCTCTGTGTTAAACAGAAGTTCTTTTAAATATGTTTCAGGTACTAAATTATGAGCTACCAAGTGGTAATTATACCATTTTAATTCATACCATGAACAAAGTATACAGAAGAATGAAGACTTACTAACCTGTAAGGTGGGACAATGCCACAGAGGATAATATGCAGCCTATTAAAACACCCTTTTTAAAATAGAAATCAAAGAAAAACAACACAGGAGATAAACCTTAAAAAAGAAAGACTTGAGTACATTAAATTATTGGTTTGTTTGCAGGTGATTTTTTTTCTTTTTTTTTTTTTAATTTTTTTTTTTGCTGTATCCCAGACAACTTAGAGAAAGGAAAAAACCATGAATTTCTCTAAGACAAATGCAAATGCAAACATAGACCTTTTCTCCACACAATTTCGGCTTAAAAACCTAATAGAGAACAGGATGACCCTAAAAATATTCAAGAGGTTGAAAATTAATAGCACAAGAAGGTAACAAGCCAGAGTAAGACCACAGCTTCAAAATGTAAGTTAATTCTGCTATTAACACCACATGGGTTCCCAGAATATGACACACTTTAAAAAAGGTAGCCACAGCCCTGCTGTATTGTCTGAACACAGCAGGGGCCCTTATAAGAATTATGCAGGGACAAAAGGTATAAACCACAACTCAATTGAGCAAGCCAGAACATACGGTTACACTAAAGCTATCTTCTTTCCTGCCTAAAAACACTGAAAAACCATGAATACTTGTAACTAGTATTAGGATATCTTACTGTTTTAAAGAAAACATTTTAGAAGATATAACTCCTTTCAGGGAGACCTAATCCACCCAATCTAATGTCACTAATACATACACCAGCTGGAATCACTGAAGAAGTTTAATTTTATTGGGGAAAAACCTGCATAAACTCAGAAGACAATTCCAATAAAAGAAAGCGTAGCTGCTCGGGTAAAGGTAAAGTCGAACAGAAACATGTTTCTGATGTAATAGGTACAATGAAGATAACAGGAGGCTGTCTTGGCCCAAACAGGTATTAGCACAATAGTTTTGCACCATGTAACACATACAACACAATGAAAACATTAGAAACCAGAGGGATACTCAGAGTTTCAGACATACACTCCTCCTCCATAGAAACCATGCCTGGCGCTAAGAATCAACGATGCAAAGAGAAGAGACTTCAGACACAACTGAAGTTAGGGAGCTTGCTTCACTCATAGCATCCGTATCCCAACTAATCATTTCGTTTTCCTCATTTCTTCTGTAATGAAATTAAGCTAAGGAATTAAGCTTCTTGCAGTATTCATCTGAACAAAACTATAGATGAGAATCTTCTCAAGAGAGCAGCAAACACTCACCTCACCATCATCTGACACATGGTATATACAACAATCTGTTGATACTGGATTTGTGCACGTCCTAACTACAGGAGAGTTTTGCTATTAAAAAGTATTGCCTGCATTCCTTTCATTTCCTTCATGGCACTTGCTATTAGACATTCTGTGAGGCATTGATCAAGAAACATGAAAATGCTTTCTGGTATTTTGGGGGACAGAGTAATACCTCTTTCCTATGTGGCCCAACACAATCTTAGAGGCAGATATGCCTTGTTTAATCAATTTAGAAGTAATTTTTATAGAACCCACTAATCTAGAGGAAGAGACAAAGGGAGACAGGATGATTTTGGTGACGAGGAAGACCATGGTGACAGCTAATGCCAATATGTGCTTACTACATGTTGGTATGGTTCTAAGCCCTTTATGTGAACCAGTTATTTGAAACTCACAACTAGGCTAGGATACAGATGCTATTTTCCTCATTTTTTTTTTTTTAAGATTTTATTTATCCATTCATGAGAGACACACAGAGAGAGAGAGAGAGACAGAGACACAGGCAGAGGGAGAAGCAGGCTCCACGCAGGGAGCCCGACGTGGGACTTAATCCGGGGTCTCCAGGATCACACCCTGGGCCGAAGGCAGGCCCAAAACCACTGAGCCACCTGGGCTGCCCTATTTTCCTCATTTTAAAACTCAGAAAACTGAGGCACAGAAAAGCTAACTCATTTTCTTAAGGTCCCACAAAGCAAAGCTAAGCTCTCAACCCCAGCCGACTGCCTCGAGAATGGCTCATAGTCCATATACTGAGCTCTTCCCCTCAGAAGGTGTCAATAAAACTACTGGCTGGTTAATGCAGAATAGTGACTGCCACTGAACTGAACTGTTGTAATTTGGCCTTTTAAACTAGTGTGATTTAGAGGATAATGTGTTGGCCATTTGTACCAATCCCTAAATTGAATCAAACCCAGTCACACTCCTCTACCTGCCCAAGAGTGAGCGGAACAGCATCCTGTGTGTGAGTGCGTCCAATTTTGATGATCTGGGCAAACTCTTTAGATTTTGCATGGAGTGCATCATGTAGCTTCTGTAGTCCTGGCAGCAGCACTTCATGGACTTCTATGGCAGCAGCAATGTGCATTGCCGTGGGAAAAGTATCATTTGAGCTCTGTTGGAAAATTACAAAAAATGTAAACTGTTAAATCAGAAGGAACAAAAAACAAATTAAATGTCTCTATTAAAAAGTCTCACTAACTTAGTGAGATTTTAGTGCTCAATTCCATTTATATGTGTCAACTTCTAGGTCACTTAAGGTCAAATAAGCAGCAACATTGTTTAATGAACTCAGAATTATATTCTATACGCCACCTACTATTATTATTATATCTGCTAGAAAATGACAGCAAAAGATAAAGAAGTACAATTAACAGGTGCATGTAAGGATAGCAATAGTAAAATATTTTACGGTTATAGAGTATAAATAGTCTTTTATTAAATTTGAGTAAAATTCTTGTGAGGTAGTTCATCATTTTAAAACTAGGAAAGCCAAGCTCTCAAAGAAATTATATGACTTGCCAAAACATTTAGGAATTGGCAGAACTGGGACCTACCCAGGTAGTCCATACTCCACGCTCTGTATTCAACTGAGACCCATACTTTTAAATTATTATGCTATTTTAAAAAGATGTATTATTTTTTACAACCTTTTACTATGGAAAATAATAAACCATTTACAAAAGTAGAATGAACTGGTATAATGAATACTCTTGTACCTATAACCTAAACTCAAACAATTAGTGGTGCACACCAATCATGCTTCACATGTAGCTCCACCCCACTCCTCCACCTGACTGTACATTCTGGATTACTCTCACATAGATTTCAGACTGTGGCATACATAAAAGATAAGTTTATATAAAATGCAAGTATTAAGTTTGAAAAATCCTTCATACAGTAGTAAACTTATGTGAAAAAGCTTCCCCCATTAATATTTAAAAATATATTAAATTACACCTAGTGCCAGATACTGATTTCTAAATATTTTCCAGTATGATCCTCCAAGAGTTCCCTAGAAAAGGGAGAAAACAACATGATAAGCACCTGGTAGTTGAAGAAAGTAAAGAACTGCCTTAAGAAAGAAAAAAAGGAAAGAAAAAAAATAGGGGGGATGGGGATACTTCCAAAGAACATAGCCAACTGAGGGGGTTCCTGAAGCTAGAACACTCTAAACGACAATATAAATAACAGCATCGGATTAGAACCCTAAGAATAAAATAAATATTCATGAATCCATGGTTACATAAAGAATTAAGTAAGTATTGGGGGAGAGAGAAAAGGACAAATCTTAACAGAAAAGTTTCAATAGAAGGAATAAGGGAAGTACAAAATCACCACTAAGACACCACAGTCCTAACTGCCACAGGTAAGACCCACTAATGAGTAATATTTGTGCACAAAAATTTAAGGAGAAAGAGGATGTTCGCACAGCCTCAAAGTTACCTAGTAGTTCTGTGTTGAATTTAACATATGACCCAAAATTCCTTGATACTCCTCCCTTTAGAAAGAGCAGCTTACATGCAGTACCTGGGTGCAGGCAGCCTCTGTGGCTCCCTTCTAACAGAGAATAGAGGGTGGAGAAGTCCAGGAGACCCATCTAACCAAGAGATTAAAGTTAACATCACCAGTACCAGGTCCTGGTGCTATCATGTGCCCCTGCCATGATGTAGTAAGAGGAGCCCTTCACTTCTGAACAGTCTTCTCCAAATCCAGAGTCTCTATCTGATCATGAGAAAGCATCAAACAAAGCCAAACTAAGGGATGTTCCACAAAATACCTGATCACTACTTTCAAAACTGTCAAGGTGACAAAAGACAAACTGTCAGACTGGAGACTAAGGGAACACAGTGACTAAATGTAGCGTGTACTGTGCATAGTATCTTGGAAGAAAAAAGGATATTGTAGAAAACTAGGGCAATCCTAATAAAGTCTGTCTTGTTGAGAGTGCTTGTATACCCATGTTAATTTCACAGATTAATGTACCACGGTTATAAAAAATATTTAACATTAAGGGAAGCTGGGAGAAGGGTATACAGGAACTCTGTGAAGTATCTATGTAATTCTTTTAAAATTCTAAAATTACTTAGAAATAAAGCATTTTTTTTAAATAAAGCATTTTTAAAAAACAAACCAAACAATACAAATATACATATATACTAATTCAAGTGCTCTAAGAGAGATTTTTGTAAGTTTAAGACATTGATTCAAGATTCCTAAAAGAACATATAAGAAGTCCTTTCTACCTAAAAATATAAGCCAAATGAACTTTCTTTGTCCAAAAGCTAATGCCTGTTTGACAAGAATAATTTCAGGTACCCTTTTCAATTTTAACAAAGAAAAGATCATATACTGACCTGGCTTTTATTAACATGATCATTGGGATGCACAGGTTTCTTGCTACCAAGTTCACCTCCTAGCATTTCAATTGCTCTATTGCTAATGACTTCATTTACATTCATATTTGTCTGAGTTCCAGATCCAGTCTGCCATACCACAAGAGGAAAATGATCATTTAATTTACCTTCGGCTACCTGCGGAAAGAAAAAGTTGAAAAAATGAATTTTTAAAAATAAGAAATATTCAATATTCACTTAGTTATTGTGATCAGCTATGATTCAGTAGTCACCTATAACATTTTTTTTAAATTTTTATTTATTTATGATAGTCACAGAGAGAGAGAGAGAGAGAGAGAGAGAGAGGCAGAGACACAGGCAGAGGGAGAAGCAGGCTCCATGCACCAGGAGCCCGATGTGGGATTCGATCCTGGGTCTCCAGGATCTCGCCCTGGGCCAAAGGCAGACGCCAAACCGCTGTGCCACCCAGGGATCCCCAGTAGTCACCTATAAAGTGCTATTTTAAAGATGCTCACTTTTCTCATATGCTAAATGATTTATAGATGGTGCCACACAACTTGTGGTTGTCCAGCAAGTCCAAGCTTCTGCAACACATGTTCCAACCATTGCTAACTTTACAAAATGAAAGGTTATCTACTCTGAAAGATATAACAATTTCATGGATTTCACATGAAACCTGAAGCAAGGCCATCTTTCTTCTGTATTTTCAACTGCCTCCTCTAATAATATCCAGGTAGGGCCACCTGTTAAGGCTGGCACACGTGTTTCTAGATACATTTACTGTGGTGCTGCTCAGTAGGAATATCCAACAGATGTTACAGCTGGAGTCAGCATGATAATGAATGAGTTACTTGGAAGTGAGTTTTCTAATAGCCGTTTCACTGCACAGATGTCCAATGAGTATCAAATGCCAACTGTAGAGACAAACACAGTCCAGATTTGTCCCTATTTGTCATATTGTTATCTGTAAGTTTTTTAATTATAAGCTAAGAGGGTAGGTGCTTAACTTCATCTTCTAGAATGATTTAGCTTAAAAAAAAATAAATCAGTCCACATTTTAAGACATTACCACCTTAGACAACTAGTAAAACTTTTTTCCTGGTTTTATAACAGATGTTCAGTGTGGAACCTTTTGAGAAGTGAGAAAAGTGAAAGTTACAATACCTCTACCCCTCAGAAACAGAGACTCTTGATATTTTGGCTTTTCCTTTTAGGCTTGCCCCAAGCAATGCGTGTGCATATATACACACACAGAAAAACACATGTTTTCTGTCCATCTTTTCCAAACACAATTAAGATCATAAAATACATACATTTTGCTACCTTCCCCACCACATATTTCTTATGTGGTGGGCTCTATCGTAGGACATTCTTTAAGAAACTAATTTTCTAGAGCTCTACAATATAATTTATACAAGCATCTGCTATGGTCAGGTACTGTCTAACTTGTCATAATCATAAATAATACTGCCATGAACATTGTAAATACATGTTTTCAATCATTATCTCTGACTATTTAAGATTACATAAAAAGTGGATTAGTGAAATAATGTTCTCCATACATATCATCAAATAACTGACTAGTGGGGTACCCGGGTGGCTTCAGCTCACGTCATGATCCCGGAGTCCCAGGATAGAGCCCAACGTCAGGCTCCCTGCTCAGCAGAGTCTGATTCTCCCTCTGCCCTACCCCTGCTCATGCTTTCTCCCCTCACTCTCACATAAATAAAATCTTAGGGGAAAAAAAACCCCAAAAAACAAATAACTGACTAGTTTTAAAAGGAATCCTTTACAAATAAAATAAAAAATCAAATATGTAAGTTTAACAGTATCTCTACAAGTTTTCTTCAAACTACATAAATTAAAAGGAAAAGTCAAGAGAATTAAAAATAAAACGTATGGTGCACCTGAGTAGCACAGTCAGTTAAGCATCTGACTCTTGGTTTCAGCTCAGGTTGTGATCTCAGGGTTGTGAGATAGAACCCCGCATTGGGCTCCATGCAGAGTCTGCTTGAGACTCTTTTTCTTCCTCTCCCCCTTCCCCCCACATGCTTGCTCTCTCATTCTCCCTAAAATAAATACATCTTTAAAAAATAAATAGAAAATAAAAAAATAAAAGGTATAACATCATCCAGAAGTTTTGTCACAATATTTTAAGTACCATATTAATATCCTCACCAAACAAGAATGCTACCTTGAAATTCATTAACTCAGGAATTCAGTGTCCTTTTTCCCTGCCAGAGCCTGACATCATCCACTGGAGACATGGGTCTGATGCCACTGAGTAAACAGTACACTTATCACCTCCTACCTCATCTGCAGCCTTCATTATTGCCTCAGCAATCTTTGAATCAAGACCATAATCCTGGTTTACTTCAGCAGCTGCTCGCTTCAAGATGCCAAAAGCTTTAATAACTGGGATCTAAAACAAATCAGAAAAATATCTCAAAATTGCAAGTTTCATTAAGCATAAAAATTTAAGATTATTATTTTACGCAGGTACAAAAATTATACCTAAAACACTAAGGTAAGTAATGTTATAGTAACATTAAGATTACAGAGAGGTATGTAAGGAACCAAGATTCATCATGTATCTGTTCCACACAGGCACTCACAATGTAACTCATTCTACTTTTTTATGATACATTGTAATGGACGTGTGTTTATTTCATACATATAAACACAAATGGCACTCAATCATTTCACCAGCAAGCACCATTATTTTCCCTCACTGGAACTCAGGTCACTTTATAATTTTTCCTTCTTCTCTTCTCTAAAACAATAAATATTTAACTGCTGATAAGTTCAAAATAACCATTACTAAAGGATATCATTTCATCCTAAAGCCAAAAAGCATGATATTCTAGTTAGTCAGTGAGGTCTTGACACTCCTCATACGTCACTGGAATGTCCCTCAGAATATTTCTTTAAACCCAGGGTACACCCTTGGGGCTGATGGCTTCCGATGCATCTAACCCTATTTCAAACCCATTCAGTTTGCAGATCTTTTCAGTTCCTGCTTTAAATCACCTCAACAAATTTAAAGGGATGAAATGGTGCAACTTTTTATGACATTTCAATAAAGTAATAATCTGGTTTTTGTAAGAAGAGAGAATTACATGTTCTTGCCAAAATTAATAATGGAGATTGTAGTCTAGATTCCACATGAGGTTTGAAAGGGTAAAGTGTGTACGGGAGGAAGGAAGAGTAGGGAAAAGGAAGGAATTACAGAGAAGCCACGGTCCTCAAGGAGAATCAAGGTGGAGAAACAAAGAAAAGGAAGGAATAGGACATGCTGAACCTGGGCTGAAGAGAGGACATGCTGAGGAACAAAGAGAAAAGGAAATAAAACAAGGGAACATTTGTATTTTGAATTCTAAGAATTAAAACATTTTTAAGTATACCCAAATGAGAAAGAAACAAATGGCACACAGCATTAGAAACTTGAAAACTTTAAACACAGCATGGATGGGAATTTAAATTTCTTGGGTTTTTTTTTTAAGTTTTTTTTATTTTTGATTTATTCATAGAGACACACAGACAGAGAGAGGCAGAGACACAGGCAGAGGGAGAAGCAGGCTCCATGCAGAGAGCCCGACCATGGGACTCGATCCAGGGTCTCCAGGATCATGCCCTGGGCTGCAGGTGGCGCTAAACTGCTGCGCCACTGGGGCTGCCCGGGAATTTAAATTTCTATGGCAGCACATTGCAGTGCTGGCTGAAACCACTGACAAGGTCATAACTGATAGCCTGTCCACTCCCGCCATCTGAGTGAAGCGACCAACCCCAGTGTCTGTGGACTGAGAAAAATTAAAGCACAGCTTCACTGACCACAATTACAATAAAACGGGAAAATGTCACTGGGGCGAAAAGAAGGCTCTTATTATTCTTAATTTACTCATATTAGAAGCTCATAATCTTTTTTTATTTTGTTTTCCTTTGGACCTCAGGTACAAAGGGCTAGGTTTATTCATACTGCCCAGGTCAGGGTACATCATAGTCTTCTTTGTATTTTTAAAAGTTCAGGAAATTCATTGAGATAAAGCAAAATGTGACAAAACAGACACCCCACGTGTTCATCTCTTACAGATGCATAATGTCAACAGCTGCCCCATCTCTGGAGTAGTGACAGCAATCACACACCCCTGAACCCACCCCTTGGTGCCTGAAGCAGGACCATTAAAACTGAGTTGTGCTTACTCCTACCAACAGTGCTTAGGATTGATCTCCTTAGTCCCAGGAGTTGAACTAGATGAGGACACTCTAGGATCAGGTGCTACCCTTTGTCACCTAACCCTGTCCTGGTCTACCTCACCATTTAGCCATCAGTGGCAATAACAAAAAGATTTTCTTCAAAGAGTCAGTTGTAAAATCATATAAGCTTGTCAAGATTCAGTCGTAAAGGCTTAGAAATGAACTAAAATATAGAGGTTAAAATTACTAGAAGATAAAAAATATATTTAGAAGACAGCTATTAAACAATATCTCACCGGATGAAGCCTGGCTACTTCTAGGCTCCTAGCCTATCCTGCACTCTGGCACAGACTAGTTAATATTCACATTGCAGCTGGACTCCAACAGCATATGTAATCTATTCCATCAATTCTTTTAACACTCTGACAGCTCTGAAACCAAGACGCATCACATGACCAATGACAGGTCACAACTCTGATAGCCTTTTTCTTTCTTAGTGCTACATACTGGTGCATCTTCTAATTAATGTCATCTTAGATTTAATGAAATATGGTAGAAAGATTTCTAATCATTGAATCATTCATGTGGCTTCGAACATATATATTGTTTATTACATGGCAGATATGGTGAAGAATAGTATTTTTACGTATTTGTGTATACTTTTCTGGAAACTAAAACCAAGATAGAAAGTATAACATTTAAAAAAAAGTTTTCTTTTATATTAGTTTTTAAAAAATCAGTCTTGAATCAGTTTAAAAAATTAGGTATTAAAACTAAAAATGTTTAAACTGCTAAATTCTGGAAAAAATCTGAAAAAACTCAGCAAGAATAAAAAGACAAATCATGAGGTGCCTGAGGGTCTCAGGCAGTTAGTGTCTGACTCTTGATTTCAGCTCAGGCCTTGATCTAAAGGCCTTGGAGAGTTCAAGCCCCTAGTCAGGCTCCATGCTGGGTGTGGAGCCTAATTAAAAAAAAAAAGATAAATCATTTAGTTCTGTCAAATAAAACTCTAAAATATCCAAATTCACAGCTCAAAATAATAGTCCTAAACTTCAAAAAGTTCTTTGATATCTTAAAGAGAAACATGTTATTACAAGGCCAGTTCCCTAGTAGCTTCCTATTTAACTCTGTAAAATATTTATTTATAAAATAAGGGTACTCATTCGAATAAAGCCAATGCTTCCATAAAATCACTTACTGGCATGCGCTCTGTCACACCTCCAATCTTAAAGTTCATCGTAGATCTCACAGTCTGGGCGCCATAATACTTATCATTCGGGACCTTGAGTTCACCAAAGGTGTCGAACTCTATCCTAAAGGAATTTTGGCTTGCCTACAGAGAAAAGTAAGACGTTGTTATAGCTTGAAAAGAAACAGAGTATCAAAACAATAATATTCTACTAGGTGTGAGGGGAAAGAAACCTTAATAGGCACTCTACAAAGACAAAAAAATCCCATTGGTTCTCATTCCACTCTCCAGTTCCTTTCTTGAGAAATTTGTCACACATTTTTCTTCTTTTAATCTGAATATAGTTGACACAAACAATGTTACGTTAGCCCTAGGTGTGTAACATGGGGTTTCAACAACTCTGGTAGGTCATACTATGCTTGCCACCTGTCACCACACAACACTATTACCATACCATCCACTATGTTCCTTATGCTGTACCGTCCATCCTCATGAATGATTTCATTCCATAACTGAAGTCTGTACTTCCTCCCACACCCCTTCACCCATTTGGCCTGTTCCTTCATCCCCCTGCTCTCTAGCAACCATCAGTTTGTTCTCTGTATTTATGGGTCTGCTTCTGCTGTTTACTCATTTGTTTTTTTTAAATTCCACATATGAAATCATATGGTGTTTGTCTTTCTCTGACTTATTTCACCTAGCAGAGCACCCTCTAGGTCCATCCATGTCACTACAAATGGCAAGATCTCATCTTTTTTATGACTGGGTAATAGTCCATTGCACGCACATGTGTGCATGCGTACACACACACACACACCACACCTTCTTTATCCATATGTCTATCAATGGACACTTGGGATGCTTTCATAATTTGGCTATTGTAAATAATGCTGCAATAAATACAAGGGTGCAGGGTGGGGGTGACTGGGTGATGGGCACTTGATGGGATGAGCACTGGGTGTTATTCTACATGTTGGCAAATTGAACACCAATAAAAAATAAATTTACAAAAAAAATACAAGGGTGCATCTATCTTCTTGAATTAGTGTTTTTGCTTTCTTTGGTAAATAACTAGAAGTGTGATTATTAGATCATATGGTAGTTCTTTTTTTTTTTTTTTAATTTTTTGAGGAACCTCCATACTGTTTCCCACAGTGGCTGCACCAACAGCACACAAGGGTTGTTTTCTCTACATCCTCACCAAGACTTGTTATTTCTTACCTTTTTGATTCTAGTCATTCTAACAGGTGTAAGGTGATATATAATTGTGGTTTTGATTTGGAGTTCCTTGACAATTAGTGATGTTAAGCATCCTTTCATGCCTCCGTTGGCCATTTGTACACCTTCTTTGGAAAAATGTCTATTCAGGTACTCTGCCCATTTTTCAAGCAGATTATTTGGGGTTTTTTTTAGTGTTGAGTTGTAGAAGTTCTTTATATATTTTGGATATTAACCCCTTATCAGATATCATTTGCAAACAATGCAGATGTTAAAGACAAACTGTAGAATTCATACACTGTGCAGAAGATAAAGGAACTCCTTTGAAGTAAAAATAGTAATCTTTTCCAATTCAGGAGTATAATTCTTATTTGTCAAGCTTTGGCCAATTCAGAGTACCCAAGTCAGAACTTTAGAAATGGTCTAAGAATGATACTTTAAAATGTGTAAATACTAGATACTTAAGCAGAGTTTAGCCATGATCTACAAATACTAATCATGAGCCATAGCATAGTGCGATATAAACAGCCCAGGCTTTGCAGTCAACAGTGCCCCACTTAGTAGGTGTGTCACCTTCAGCAAATCAGTTTTCCTCATTTATAAATTAAATGTAGAGATAAAAGAGGACGGGCTAGGTCAGTTCTTAACCTCTTCTGGGCAATGGAACCATTTGAGGATATGAGGAAAGCTATGGATCCTTTCTCCAGAGAAATGAACACAAATACATATACGAAAAATCTTACTTATAATTTTAGAGAGTTTACATCTTGAAATCAATCCACCACCCAGAATAAGAACCCACGATCCAAAGTACCTTTTATGGAGACCTTAGGATTCTACCAAGTACATTAAATTATGCTAATAAAAAAGTTAACTCCTCAACAAATATTTTAGAATACTATAGAAAAAAAAAGATTTGTTATAAAACACAAAGTTAGAATTTACATGTGATAATTTATGTCAAGGAGATGACAGATGTTCAGAGCTTTAATTAATGTGAATTAATTATGAAATAAACATGGCCAGATGATTCAGAAGATTTAAAAATCCCTAGCCAAGTAATTCTGTTTTAGTAAATAGTCCTATGAAAAATTTAATTGGTAGTTAAATGTCTGGAACTAGACGGATTAAAAAAAAAAACCCTTTATATGCTATAAAGCCTTTGAGGTTGCAGAAATAGAAAAGCATGTAGGTAGAAATACAGTATTACCAACGAGGTCCTTTTTTTTTTCTATGTCTAAAAAAGTCTGCAGAGGATTGGCCTAAGCCAAAATGAAGCAGCAGCTAGTAATCACACTTCAGCATTTATTGTGCTATGTAGCAAATTCCAAGTATCACCTTATTTGACTTTCACAACCACTCTAGGAGATTTTACTATTATCACCTCCACCTTAGAGGAAACACTAAGGATAAAGGAGATTAATAATCTCAGGAGATCACCCAGTTAGTAAGAGGAAGGGCCTGAAACTCTCAAACCCTGGACTGTCCACATCCAAAAGCTGTTCAGATTACTATTTTTTTTTTTTTGTTACCACTTCCATAAGCCAAGAAATGGAGGGAGTAACTCCAGACTGGCCACAACCAGCCCCTGAGTTGTACCCCAAACCTTGAAGAATGAAAGGAAGTCTGAAGATGCATAGATTTCTCTCTAGTAGAGCTTGGTTACACTGACACCACCGTATACCCACTTGCTTCCTACCCTGTAGACCAAAAGCACCTGGGGTTCTGTATCTCAAATGCACAAATAAAAATATTTTGTATTATGATCTTTGTTTTAGATAGCCTAAGGAAATATCCATGTATGTTAAAGTATACTTTGGCCCAATAACACCAGCAATGACAGCAGTGGCACTGGACATGTGACGTAGGTTTTCTTCCTCTCATCAACAAGATGCCAACTCCAAAGGGAGATCAGTTTCAATTAGTCACTTGTGAAATCAGGTTCAACTCCTTAGATTTACATCATCACTTTCTGTATTCAAAAGTATTAAACTGTCGGGATCCCTGGGTGGCGCAGCGGTTTGGCGCCTGCCTTTGGCCCAGGGCGCGATCCTGGAGACCCGGGATCGAATCCCACGTCGGGCTCCCGGTTCATGGAGCCTGCTTCTCCTTCTGCCTATGTCTCTGCCTCTCTCTCTCTGTGTGTGACTATCATAAATAAAAAAAAACAAAAACAAAAGTATTAAACTGTCATCATAAAACAGCAATAACTTTGTCCCCTAACCAACTGGTTTCTATGGTAAAACTCAGATCCATTCAAAGTTACTTGAAAAGATCTAGATGAATATATTTTACTATGTTTGTTTTTCAGCTTAAACCTTAACAATTTTTAAATTCCAAATCAGGAAACAAATCAAATTCTAGGACCTTGACAGTAATCATTAAAAAAGTACAGAAGTCAATTGTGGCTGAAATCACAATCTCAGCAAAGACTTCAAAAAATATGCTTACTGTCCCTATAATAAAAATCAACATTCCAACTTTAAAACAATAAACATTCTCTGCAGCAGCTTAGGTAGCTAATAACTATGGCAAAAAGCCAAAGTTATCCCTTTATTTTAAACCCAGGATATATACAGGTTGCATAAACTTGTAGAACAGAAAAGGAAGTAGTGCTGTAACACTTTGTAAGGCACCAGGAATTAGAGAAAAGCTATGTCAGAGGTGGTTATGCTTATGTAGATGCTTATGCATGTTAGGTAAGTGCATATATGTATGGACAGAGGAATAAACCAGGTAACTTTGCCAAATCTCTAAATGTTCTTTTCAAAAACCTACAGAAACCAAATCCCTTTAAGTGTTCTTTACAGTAACCTACAGAAAAAAACCCTTATACAGTGATCTGGTACATATAAAAACACATGCTTATATGAACAAAAGGCTGAAAGAAAAGCTTCATGAGACAGTATGAATATTTTCTGTTCTATGCCAATCTATCCTTTCAAAATAATAATAATGTTCATAACTACCCACTACAATAACAAGTCCACCTGAGGTCTGAAAAGCACTTGTGTGGTTTTCAAAATCTTTCACATTATCATGTACATTAACTCTTCCAGTGGCTTGGGCAAGAAGAGGAGGGATACTCGTCCTGAATTAATGGGAAAATGATAGTGCTTCTGATGAAAAATGAAATGATGAATGGTATCTCTTACTATAAGTTTTTAATTCGTACAATATAAACCACTGTTACAAAAAAAACTAGTGTTTTTGAAAACCATGCTTTTATATGCCACAATCCAAGAAGGGTTTCTAGCCAAAGTCAGTGTATCACTTCAGGTTAACAGAGTTCAACCCACTAGACATAGGGCAGGCACAAAGTGTGACTTCCCATGGGTCTCTGTGAGATTCATGCTCATTTATTTAAAATCACCTCCTCAGGGCACCTGGGTGGCTCAGATGGTTAAGCATCTGCCTTCCACTCAGGTCATGATCTAAGGGTCCTGGGATTGAGCCCCGCCTCAGGCTCTCTGTTCAGTGGGGAGTTTACTTCTCCCTCTGCCTTTCCTCTCTCCTCTCCACTCATGTTCTCTCTCAAATGAATAAATAAAATCTTAAAAAAAAAAAAATCGCCTCCCCTTCTCGAGGAGCATGTGTGGGATAATGGTTATGTTCACTGCAGTCTTATTGCCATTAGGTCCTAGAAATACCAAGTACCACTGTTAGCAGCCACTAACCCCAGGAACCTCAGACCCAGGAACCTCAGAAATTGATGAGGCGGTCTCAAAATCTGTGCGTCCTTCTAGACCAGAAAGGTAAAAAAAATACAGACCTTAAGCCTCTACGATGTCCCCCATGTACATTCATGTGTAAGATAACCATTAACTGAACCATGGCATCTCCTAAAAAAATAAGATGCCTTTCAGATTCTCAGTTTAAAGTGGGTTAAAAGAATATTTCAGTGTTTAAGAAGATCCAAATCATTTCTCACATAAAAGGACTACCTCAAGAGATAAAAATCCAACATATGACATCATTGTGTTCAGGTTTTCAGTTTCTTTCTGTAAAAGTCCGGTCTTAAAATGTAGGGTGACCATCAAGTCTTCCAATACTGACAAATATGTAATAAATGTTTTACTGATATTACACTGCAAAATAGAATAAGATATCATCTAGATTTCCAGACTTTAGAGCCACCTGCGCATCATTAAAAAAATAAAGAAAAGTGAATTTAAAAGATGTAGGGCGGGATCCCTGGGTGGCGCAGCGGTTTGGCGCCTGCCTTTGGCCCAGGGCGCGATCCTGGAGACCTGGGATCCAGTCCCACGTCGGGCTCCTGGTGCATGGAGCCTGCTTCTCCCTCTGCCTGTGTCTCTGCCTCTCTCTGTATGACTATCATAAATTTAAAAAAAATAATAAAAATACTTTATTAAAAAAAAAAAAAAAGATGTAGGGCTTCCCTATCTGCCATGCTAGCAAGGCAGTATCACAGCTACAGTATTACAGCTGTTCTCCATTAGTTTCTCACTCTCAACTGCACTATTTCTCCTGGATAGTTTTTATCATATTGTAACTAACTGTGCATCATCTGTTTGCTTATTTAATCTCCACCCTCCCCCACCCCCTCAGCCTCTAAACTCTTTCCTGTAGTTACTTTTTCAGCTGGCCCACCCAATACATAGAAAGCATTCAATAAGTATGTTATCTTCCTGTTAGATAAACATTTGTGTTAGATAAAAGGTAACTTAGGGCATTTAGGGTTATGTAAATTCTCAATAGCAATAAGAAAAACTTTTAAATAAAGTCAACACAAAGATTTTGGAGCTGGGCTTAGATAGCAGAAGATATATTTAGAATTGGGGGGGGGAATCTATTTTCATTTGATCTTAGCTAACACCACAACAGGAAAAGCAAGGTAGTGCTCTTTTTTTTTTTTTTTTTTTTTTTTTTAACATCTAGAGCAGGGCAGATTCCCCAGTCTCAGATTCCCTTTCACAAAGCACTAAATTAGTAAAAAAAAAAAAAAAAAAAAAACATAAATTTTTAAAAGGCTCTAACATGCACTAAAACTATTACAGAAGGGCACTGCATGAGCCTAAAGTACCCCCTCGTTTTGTAGTTTCGGCATAGTCATGCCATGAAATCATCTTGAAGTTTACTTACAGTTCGGAAATAACTTGGGCCTTTGAAATACACTAGATGGAGGCATTAATGAGCGCTCACTGCTTGGCAATCACAAAGGACTTTGGCAGGAGCAATCCTGCTGAGGGCCTGTTCTCATTTCCATTTCACACGTGGAAACCGAGTCACAAAGGCAAGTTGCCCCATGTCCCAACTGTGAGTAGGATTTGAAGTCCCATCTCTGACTGCAAAGCCCACACGACAGCCCAGCGGTCTGTGCAGAACCGTTAACTTTTCCTCAACTATCGTTTATTTTCCGAACTCTTCCTAACACCACGCGTGTGTGCGCGTTAAGTGTTGAAAACGCTCGTTAAAAGCCCAAGTTACTGAAGGCGACGCTCGGTAAAGAGCAAAAGACTTGAACTGGATCTTGAAATTCCTCAGGCCTTTCTGAAGAAAAAGTACTGATTTAGCTACAGCCACATCCTATCCAATGCCCCCCGCCCACACGTTCCGAGTTTTACAAAAGGGGGGAAATCCACAGTCAGCCTAAAACGGACGAAATGCAATTTCACGAAAAGCAGTCTTTTAAGCTCCTAAGAACTTTCAGCCCCACCCCCGCCCGGAGGCCCGAAAGCAGCTCGCCGCACCGGGGCGAAGAGAAGCTGCAGGTCGGAGGACGGCCAGCTGCACCCGGCCTGCTAAGGGGCAGGGGCTGCAGCGGCCCTCGCCCTCCCCGCCGCCTCCCCCTCCCCCGCCGCACGGACCCCAGGGCGGCGCCAGGGTGGGGGGCGCCAGGGTGGGGGGCGCCAGGGTGGGGGCCTCCGCACCCGCAGGGGTGCAGCACAAGGCGCGGCTGCGGCCCACCTCCTCGCCCGGACGCCCCCGCCGCCCGCGGCGCCCCGGCCCCGGCCCCCCGGAGCTCGCTCGGGGCGGAGGCGGCGCCGCGAGGCCCGGAAGCCCGCCGCGCGGGCACGCAGCCCAGGCCGCTCTCCGCCGGGACGCCCCGGGAACCCGTCCCGCCCGCCCCGCCGGCCGGCGAGCGCAGGACTGAAGGTCACCGCCGGGAGGCCGGGGCTCTGGCGGCCCGCGCTCACCATTCGAGCGGCGTCCGGGGGCCGCAGCAGAAGCACGGCCGCCTCTCCGAGGCCGGGAGCGGAGGCTGAGCCTGGAGCCCGCACCAGGCGACGCGAGCGCGCGAGGAGCCGCACGGCGCGATACATGGTGCAGCGGGAGCCTGGGCGGAACCTGGGGGTGGTTGAGGCCACGCCCCCTCCGCGCGGGCTGTCAGAACCCGTCCCTCCCACGGCGCCTCGCTCTTATCCAATCAACAGCCTCAAACCCAGGGGGTGGGGCGGGACCAATCGCGAATGGCCAGTAAGGAGTGAGGAGGGCGGGCTTAACTTCCTTGTCGTAGAGCGCAGCCTGGAAGCCCTGGGATTCATGGGAAACTAGTGCGAAGGGCATTCTGGGGAGGGAGGTTCTTCCCCAGAGTCGGATACCTGGATGCCGTGGGAGGCGGGAGGGCGGGAACGTTAGCGGATGAATGAATCTGGATCAGGGCTTGGTCCAGGACCTATCCTAGAAAGGAGTGTTTATGTATCATGGAACCACTCATTACGTGTTGGACTCTTTTAAAGACTTCTTCCAGGTCACATCTTCCGTTCAGGAATTGTGGAAATCGAAGCAAAGTAGAGACAATCAAATCATTGCCCATGATGCCGACACCTAAGAAAGTCATTCTGAGGTCTCTGCAGTTTGCTTCCTCTTCTAAACGGGCGCGCTCAAGAACTGTTTATAAAGGGTTAGTGAGGAAGATGTCCATGATTATAGGTGATTGAGGAGTTGTTGTTTACATTTATGTTCTCCAAGATTTTTTTTTTTTTGCGTTGGTGATATTTACATATTCACATCTATTTAGTAGAATAGGTATGACAGAAAAGCACGAACTGATACTAAATTGCATCTGAAACACAGTTTATCTCTTCTTCTCCTGTCCATAGCTTGAAACCAGATGACAGTTGACCATGTAAGGGAACCATTGGATGATGCCCAGGAGTCCAAAGTCCAGGACGAAGGAGAGTTAGTCAACCCTCTGGGTAACGCTGCTTATGTTATCTATGTTATTTGTGGCTTATGAATTTCACTCATATATTTAAAATATGAAGAATTGAATGAGTAAGCATGATCGTTGAACTACAATCAAAACTCCCAAGCCTCACCTGAACTCTTCATATCTTTGTCAACCAGTGATTCAGAAATTACTAGAATTCTTGATGAAAAAGTGAGCCCCGCAGCTATGTAGGAGTTAGAGCGTCAGAATAAAAGAAAATCCAGAAGCAAAAGATAACACAGTGGGTTTAGGAACCAGTGAACCACCTATTCCCACATACTTAGGTGTCCCACCATTAACAGGCAAACAATACAAAGTTTAGGGTGAAGATAGTAGTACTGGTGTTGTCATCAGTTTGACAGAAACTACAGGAACATTTACTAACGATCACTATCACTTCCTAGGAAATGCTAACATTTTGATGCTTTGCTCCACATCCCTTGTAAAAGAAAAGAGAGAACAAATTACTGATACTGGAGAGACATTTTCTTCCCATCATCCCAGAAACTATCATTATCTTGCTACATATCCTTTCAGTTCACCTGTGTATGCTTTGCATATTGATCTGCAAAAACGATGGTTTTAAAAATTTAAAGTTTTGCTCTTCTATAACCGAACTATTTTTGAGATCTATCCATGATCTTTTTAACTTAATAGTATTCCTATCACATGAATTTAGCACATTTTCTTTTTTCTTTTTTTTTAAGATTTTATTTATTTATTCATGATAGACACACACAGAGATAGAGATAGAGATAGAGAGAGAGAGAGAGAGAGACAGGCAGAGGAAGAAGCAGGCTCCATGCAGGGAGCCGGAAGCAGGATTCAATCCCAGGTCTCCAGGATCACACCCTGGGCCAAAGGCAGGTGCTAAACTGCTGAGCCACCCAGGGATCCCCAGTTTAGCACACTTTCTTAAAAAAATTTTTTTACTGAGTATTCTGTCACATGAATATAAAACATTTTATTTATACAATTTCTTAAGAGTATTTTTTGCTGTTATACACAACGCTCAGTGAACATAAGTTTATGGTTTCTTCATGGGTCATGAAGTAACATCACTTCCTGGAGTGACATCACTCTGTACTCCTATCGTTGCTTATTATTTTAACCTCTTTTATCAACAATGATATTTCTATGCCACCTAGTTATTATCCGCTTGATGTATGTTTCTCGTTTTATTTTGGATAATTTTCTTTCATTTTTACTTTGAGCATATCTCCTGTTTTCACCACAGTTTAATGTTTTTAAATCCAAATTGCTAGACTTTAAACAAATGGTCTATTTTAATCCCTTTCAATAACACCTATTGATATGTGTTACAATCCAGAGAATTTTCTAAGCACTTTATGTATTCTTTTAAAAGTCAAAGCAGCCCTGCAAAGTAGGTCCTGTTATTTCTGCTCATAGAAGAGAAAATTGATGCTTAAGGGCATCCAACTAGACCACAATCTTAACTATTTTGCAGGCACAGCGTGGGACCGATTTTCTGTATCACTATTAATATTTCTCAGGAAACAGTATCTGGCACTGCCCAATGATTTTTTTAAAATGTTAAAAAATAAATAGGTTGTGGCAAAATTTATTTTTCCAATTAGGTCACAACAATATCTTCCATTCCATTTGCTCTTCTATAGTGAGAATTTGCCACAGGAGAGTCTGAATATCCTCCCCTTTAATATTGGCAAGCCTTATGCCTTGCTAATAACCAATAGAAACTGAGAAAAGTGACTGCTGATACTAGGTCAGAAAAGATCATGCATCTTCCCTGTGGTTTCCTGAGACACTTGTTTATGGTGAGCCAGCCACCAAGTAAAAAGGTTCGACAGTCATGCCAGAGAGGCCGCACTTGGGCATTGCAGCCAATAGCCCTGGCTGTGCTCCCAACTGACAGCCAGCATCAGTTCTCAGCCTTGTGAGTGAGCTGCCGTCCATACTCATCTTGACAGGATGGCTGCAGCCATGCCAGCCCTCATACCTGCAGATGATAACTTTTGATGAAACAGGGACAGGGTTCTTTCCAGAAACTGCCCTCCGAAAAAGGAGAAAGAACTTTCCCAGAAGCTCTTAGCAAATCTCTCATCACATCTCATTGATCTAAATCAGATCATATGATCCTTCTAAATCAATCACTGGCAAAAGAGAATGGGATAATCTGAATAAAATATTAATTCATGAAAACATCATTTTAAAAAATTAGAGATATATTGCTTGTACTCAACATGGTAATACAACTTTTCTAGAATTGTCTCTCATATAAAAAATTTCCATTTAATTCTTTTATTTCTAAGATTTTATTTTAAAGAAGAAGAAAGAGTGATTGCACACAGGAGCAAGGACAGGGGCGGAGGCAGAGGTGTAGAGAGAGGGACAAGCAGACTCCACACTGAGCACAGAGCCCCTCTTGAGGCTCAGTCTCATGACCCTGAGATCGTAACCTGAGCTGAAACCAAGAGTTGGATGCTTAACCAACGGAGCCACCCAGGTGCATCAAGAAGTTTTCATTTAATTCAAATGAACAGTGTTGTTCCCTGAAACTTTTAAAAAGTCACGAGAGACACAGTTACAAATATTTATGGAGCATGTGTTTGAAAGTTCTTGCTTTCCCACATTTTTAAATATCTCTTGTTCCTTTCTTCATTTTACTTTGTCACCTTTCTGCAACATAAATATTAGATGATGTAAAACTTAGATTATAAATCAAACCTTTTGCTCAGTATTCACAACTGGAAATGTCCCGTTTTCAGAATTTCACCTGACTTTAACTGCCATTCCCAAGCAAGTTTCACAGGTTTAGTTCCAGTCTGCACTGATTGTGGTCTAGAGAGAGGAATATTTTCAATTTTATTCTTCATTCTCATCTCTATTCAATGTCTTTGCCTACTTTAGGGAGATCAAGACTCTTTATACAAAGAATCATGTGTCTAAATCTGTTTACTGGCACCCACCCTGCAATGTATTTCAGCAATTCCTGCTTTACTACCCATCTAGCTTATCTCTTTCTAGTTCTCCAAGTTCAATAGGTCATCTCTGCTTTGTTTGCTGTTCCTCTTAATCCCTGGAAATATTGCATATTGGTTTTATTGAACTCCTAAAAATAATTTTAAAAAGGTACGTGGTTGTTCTAGATACTTTTTAAATTTCCTATGACTTCAAGTAAGCTTATTTCTCAGAGTAGAGAAAAGGCAATCATCACTTGGGAGTTTTTGGGGAAGGAGCCCAGCTCCTCTTCCAATGACAATTTGAATTTTTGAGAAATGGAATTATGGCTTCATATATCAACTTTTTTTAAATGTGCTTCTTTGGTTCATATCTTGTTATTTTCATTTCATTCATTTTGTTCATATATATGGGTGTGTTTCCCAATTTCCTGACTTGAAATCTAGTTCAGAGTTTCTGTAAGTATGGGATATATACTATTCTTGGTACCTTGGTGATTGTAGGTGGGCCAGGAATGCAACATTAATTAATATTGATTATTCTCCTATTTTTTATTTTCTTCTAGTCCTACCCATTTAGTAAGAAAGAGTCTTTTTTTTTTTTTTTGGTGCAAGTGTATATTTTATACTTCTCGAACACTTGTTAATATCCTTTTGTAAAAGTAGAGGGAAAATCTTTGGTGAAAATTAATTTGTAGGTATAGAATTTAGCTACAATTTCTTTTTTCTTTTTTTATTAAAGGTTTTAATTATTTATTTAAAGAGAGAGATTTCATGAGCCTGTAAGCAGGGGAGGAGCAGGGAGAGAGAGAAAGGATAGAGAGAGAATCTCAAGGAGACTCTGTACTCAGCATGGAGCCCAATGTAGGACTCAGTCCCACAACCCTGAGATCATAACCTAAGCCAAAACCAAGAGTCAGATACTTAACTGACTCAGCCACCCAGGTGCCCCTCACCTACAATTTATATGTTTCCCTTCTTTTCATCAATGAAATTGATTTTCCATTTGCAGCCATAGTATAAAGTTACATTTTTATTTAAATAAAATATACATCAATTTGAAACAAAATATTAAATATATTATAAAGGTGTTATGCAATAATTGAAATTAGGGAAACAATGGCTAGTTCATTTATTACATTACTTAATAATGAAAAATAATTACTTTTAAATTAATCATTGACACTATATTTTCATTTTAGG